CGCCTGTCACTGATTTCCTGTTCACAATGATAGATATTGATCCTGTTGTCGATGTGAGCAGCATTTCCTTCACTCTGCAGCTCACCACGGTCTGAGCAGTTTTCCCTTTGTTACTGCTGCAGCCCGACAAATACTGATCTCAACTTTTCACTGATCACAAAAGTTAATTCTTTATTTTAACATATGGCTGTTTTAACATAAACAAAAGATATGCAACCGATATTAGCTTATCTTATTATTTAGCTGTAGTTCAGCCATTATTACGGTTATAAAATAAGATAATCACAATTTGTTGTGCTATGGGGAAATTTGTGCTATTGTCTATCACCAGTGTAATATTTGTATACAAGACAGATTACTGCTTTGTTTCTGTTTCTGTGATTCTGACCCGGACACAGATTATATTTTAATATGATCCCCCTCACAGTCTTTGCTATTCACTTACCTTCTTCATTCTGATATCAAGTCCGTTGCACATTTTGTTGGTATGTGTAAATGTAACAGTCGAAGAATAAAACATGTCTAGTGTACAGTCACACAAGTGATTCTGTTGGGCTGTAGTTAGAAACTGTATAGACAGACATACAGCATACCAGCACCTCAAAAGTGAAGCCAAATCGTCTTGATTTCCCCCCTTTGACTGGCTGCACTATAGGTTCTAAATCCAACCTTCTCCATGTTAACAGACGGGACATGTGCTGACCAAATTAAAAAGTCTAAATACACGTCAAATCCATTTTTCTCAAATTTGTTTTCTGTTATCTAAGTTTGGTTTTAAATTGTTATTATAAAACATGATTGACAGCTAAAACTGACTCAGGATTGGTTGTGCGCATGTATTGGTGGGACCCATGGGTGGGACTTCAATACCACAGCTCCATCCCCTGATTGCTGCTGCACAGACTCAGATACCTGGGTATAATCCATAGGCACAAACCAAAGTTATGAACAGTTTGACCTGATGGTGGCGCAAAACAGAAGTTAACATTAATTATAAGTCAGTACTTATCATCCTCTGGGGAACATGAATGTCTATATTAAACTCTGTGACAATCCATCAAGTAGTCAATGATATTTCTGTCTTGATTGATTGTTTGACTAACAATGCCAGCAATAGCACAAATTATCAGTTGTACTTGTAGAAGTGATAAAAATATATTATCCTGTATTTTTATGGAGAGGTCTGAATTCTATTGCAGAGGCTGAAAGGAAATATTTTTCTCTACTTTTGAAGAAACATTGGCGATGATTAGGTGTTCCGAGGCCTGACATTTGTAAAAGAGCTGCCGGTAGCCTGGTGCTAACATGATATCCATGGGCACAGGCTTTATGGAGGCAGAGCCAGCAAAATGTGGTATTAGAGCATCTTGAGGGATCTGCTTGGCTCCAGTGATCTCTCATTCACATGAGAGCTGCAGCCGGACCACTCTGCCGCTGGTTGGGTCACCATGCTTGACGTGTTCCATTTCCAAGTGCCTGACTTACCCAGGCACTTACTCAGGTTTCACTGGTAAATTACACAGCCGCATGCTGGCCCTTGAAAGTCAAGTCTGCACACTGAAAGATACTCCATGGGTTTATAGATTTAAAATGGCAATTCTGATGAGCACTGCTTGAAATGTGCAAGTGTGACGGTAGTAAACCACCAAACATGCTTGGGAAAGTTTATGCAATCTCTTGAAATTTGCCTTATCATTTATTGTTTATTAATTTCTGCAAAATACTTGCATGAGATGCTTGGAATTAGGCCTTGGAACATGACCCCACAATACAAGGTTTTATTAGCAACACGAATACTTGACAATCTAACAAAACAGAGAAACAACAAATCAGTTTGACTGACAGGTCTGTGTTTTTGCTTCATATGAACACCACCACTTAAACTGGGAAACCAACACAGCATGCTTATTACTGTGTAGCCAATTTCAGAAATGAATGGTTATAAATCAATCAATTAATCAAATTTTATTTGTATAGCCTATATTTGCAAATCACAATTTGTCTCATAGGGTTTAACAAGGTGTGACATCCTCTGTCCTTAAGAGTAAGGAAATATACCCCAAAAATGTTACAGGGGAAAAGAATGCTTTAGAATGAAGGTATTATAGTTTAAGACGCTGATTTTCTGTGCACACCTTAGTGAGTCAAACCTCTTTTCCTACCATTTGTCTCAGTTGTTGCAGACTTCCCTTCCAAACCCACTGTCTGCCTCTGGTCCTCAGTCTTTCTAATTAAAGGAACTACATGACGAACGATAAAGCTGTGTGAAGCCTCATTAAAACCTGCCCCCCCCCCTGAGCCTCAGCACCTGGCTTTCTTGCAGTGACACCACCTGCACCACCTGGCTCACCATTAATCCCCATTTGACCTTTTATTTGTCCCCTCATGCCCCACCCTCATTTCTTCCCACCACTCAAACACTCTCATCCCTCCATCCTGACCATCATCCACCACTCAACTTTACTTGTCATTCCAATTAACTCAATTGAAAACATTGTTCAGGAATGAGCTGTTGACTCCAATATATTACAATTTGTTGGCACCGGGAAATATGGCAGCGTCTCTATCACCCAAAGTTAGCTGAACTTTGCAAACTGTAAAATTTACACCCAAGCTCCCCTGTCACATATCACAGGTTTGATTCCAACTGCAGTAACCATAGTTTTTCTTGTATGTCCACAGTCATTTAAGGTGGACTTATTGATTCTGGGGACTGTTGATATTTGAAGACAAATACACCCCTCCCTTCATTGCTCCTTCAGAAGCTGCACCCCCGTCATTCATCCACATGCATTGCCAAAGTGCACCACTGATTCCAACATATTGGATTTAGCAACCATAAACATTTGCATTCTGTAGACAAAATACACACAAACTACACATTCAGAGGACGTTATCTACCAGTGTGTTGACGCTGTAGCCTACCATCTGGAGGCACTGTCCCCAATGTTAACATGGGACATGTTATTTGCATATTATTTCACTATCTTCTTAGGGTTAGCTGTAGTCTGTGGTGCCTCAACACTTAACGCTATGGTGAAAAATTAATTTCCAGCTAACAGTAGTTGTTTTGTTCTGACACAGTAGTGGCAGTGGTAGTTACTTTCCACTTCAACCTCCCATCCCTTCATAGTAGAAGAAAGAGAAATAATTACATGATCTTGCTTGAGATGTAACAGGTGATGTTTTCTTGTTTTATTAAAAGAAAGAAAGAGTTTTAGTTTTTTTATGAGCCCCTTTCTCCTCCCAGTCTGTGCAAGAGCATGAATACCCCTGTTGCTGATTGGCTGGGACAGGATTGTGGTGTTCGGGCAGTGCAGCGTCTGCAAATACAGAGGCAGCGCTTGTATTTAAATCAGATTTGCGTTTGTGAATGGGTGAATGGAAAACTGTAAAGCACTTTGAGACTAGAAAAGCCCTGTATAAATACAGACCCTTTACCATATTAGCAGAATTGGACAAAAAGTGTATTGGATTAGTATGGCTTATCCTTTTCCATCTATTATCTTAGTCGAACTCAGATTTCCAAATAATGAGGTTTAGTCCATCTGATAAATTGTTCTCTAGAAGAGCAGCGCGGCTTCTGCAGCTGAACCTCAGCCAGTGTGGCTGCTAATCTGTTAACATGGGCGAGGAAATGAAAAGCAAACCGCAGCCAGTGTGGCCTGAGCATAAGTCACATGATGTTCACAATGTTCACTGAATACCTCTTTAAGCTTTGTTTTCCAAACTTGGTTGGTCTCTAACTAGACCGAGTAACATAAAATAAACCAAAAAGTATGAGAAAAGAAGAAGTGCACTGGGAAATCATAGTGCACACATTATTTACTTAGGAGCTTCTACCGTCGTCTCATTTAGGACTACCCTCTGTAATGAGAATGAGATTCTTCCAGTGGAGGATTTTTATTCCTTGTTAGTCACTGAGCCGGTTATTTCTTCTCTTCAGTGCTTCCAATCTCAGGGGTAAAATCATTCCAGCCCGTCAACTCATCCTTTTTGCGTGGTAAAGATGTCTGTGACAGGTACAGGCTGTTGTGGACCCACAGACACAGAGGGAGTCAGAGTCAGACGGAGGCAGCCGCCTGGTCTGAAATAACCTGATTTTCTGCCTTCTGCTTAGAGGGGTTGAATTTAAAGCTCACAAATGTGATGAAATCTCCAGCTTTTATTTGATGTTTAATGTCTGCAAAAAAGGATTTTGCACATTTCTGATCTGTCGTTTGCAAGAGTTAGCATGCATTAGTTCAGAGACAAAAATGGACTTATTTACTATAATATGTGAACATTGCTGAACATCCTGCCCAACCCTGTTCAGAAGACTGGCAGTTCAATAAAACATTAGCAGGCATATTTAGTGTGTGCAATTTGTTAGTGCAGGTGTGTGCAAGATTCTTGAATTATTCCTCATTAAGAAATCAATGAGAATGTTGAAAAATTTCATATTAAAGAAATTAAAAATGACTGGACCTGATCCAGATCAGCACCAACATTAAATTGGTTCTTTCCTCACTAGTACCACATCCTTCCACCAAGTTTGGTGATAATCTGCTCAGTGGTTTTTGCTTAGTCCTGTTAACTAACAGACAAACAAATGCTGATGAAAACCCGTAAGATTCTTGGTCAGGTACAGCTCTGTAGTCCCATGTTTTCTGCACAGTCCCTTTTAAGTAAGTAGTTTATTTTATCAGTAGTGTCAGAGGGTATTGACTAAAATCTTTCAGTTGCTCCCAGAGCTCCCTCAGAGGTTTGGTTTGTTGGATCTCCTTCCATGTATTACATTTTTTTTTACTCCAGAGGAATCTCCTGACACAATCAGGGTTTCAACCCAGGAAACAGCAGCTCAACCACAAAGAGCCACAGCCCCCTATAGGGAATTGACTGAAGTACCACTGTTAAACCAAATGCATTTCTTTGCTTACAACTCAGTAGCTTCTGTTGCAGATTTCCCTTCGCTTTCTTCAAGATTACAATCACAACCACTTTACATCAAACAGTGATTCTCCATTGGTAAACAGACACATTTTAATTTGTCCTCAAGGAAATACAGGAAAGAACATTCGTATAGGACAAGAAAAATCTCCTTTCATTAGAAAATAAAACCCAAAACCCAAAAGAGCAGAGTTACTGTACATAGCCACACTTTCTTGATGTCGCAACACAAACTGATTTACTATCCTTAAAAGGATGCTTTTCTTTCACTGTGACCTTGTCCATTCAACAAACCAGTGACTTTATTTACCTTTACAAAAATGTTAGTGATTAAAAACAGTGTGGGCAGAGTGAACATTTGGGGGAAAGCTCATCAGTGGTGTTCTGATGTGGAGAAAAACAGGAAGGTGAACCAATGCAAAGTTGTTTTTCTACAGTGAGAGCTCAAGTCATTTATGATCACCCTCAGCACATCTACCAGGGAAATAAAACCACGTTCACATCAACCATTTGTCTTTCTCTTTGTTAAAGTTCTCTGCCCACTGACGTGTAAGCTCCAAGTAGTGGTCCGACTGGTTGGGTTGGTAGTCTAGGTACAAACGGGTCACTGTTTTCTTGGGCACAGCCTTCTCTATCTGTGTCCCTTCATGCCATTGATTAAAGGATGTAATGGTGACAATTTCCGGTCTGACAGACAGAGCTGCTTGCAGGGATGTCTCGTAGTATCGTCCGTTCACCCGGTTCCTGGTGTTATGGTTGTTCCATGGCCGAACGGCAGTGTCTACGTACCCTGGACCGACGCTGGGGATGAACAGCAGATTGTTTGCGTCGCAGAAGTCCTTGATGGCTTTCCAGTTCTGGTGGGACGAACCATAGGAGAAACCGTTGGAGGCAAAGTAGGTGTAGATGCCATCGAAGCCACTGGCCAGGATGTCATGTTTGTGGCGCTCCTCGACGATGAGGGCCACGAAAATGCCATCGTAAGCTGTGCCCCTGATGCTGTGGGAGCCCTTAGCTGTCAGGAGCTCTGCCCAGGACTCAGGCGGCATCAGGTAGGAGTCATAGACATAAAACAGAGGCAGGACTCGACCTGTGCTGGACCTGAATCTGTAGAAGGCGCCATGTTTTCCATACCTGGGAAAAACACGAGAGGACTCAATGTTCCATCTTTTTCTGCATGCATTTGATACTGTGCAGATCATTTAAGAAACGTTGATGAGATTAGAAAACCAACACATAATATAACATTTGTCAAATGTTATTTTGAGCTGCGCCTTTAGTCAGTTATTTGAATTACTGTTCAGATAAATATATTGATCAGTGCAGCTTTAAGGTCTTAACCTGTTTGACTACACAGATACCAACTGCAATACAAGACTGCAAATTTGTGATACGTGTGATTAAAGAGTCTCACAGACATGTTCCAGAATCCGATCAGGCTGGAAATCTAGTCGGAATTCGCAATTTTTTATACAGGGGAAGTCGACCAATGACCATGCATGAGAGACATTGAAATACAAACTCAGTGCAGGTTATGTTAACTGCATCGGGTTCGATTTCTCTCGGGCTCGGATGGGTTTGGACAGAGAAATGCTGCCCGAGCTGCTCTCTATTCTTTACAATTGATGTCTACTTAAGAGTTTCATTATTGATTTAAATCATTGATCATATTGACTGTAACACGTTTGATACAGCTAAAACGTCACAGGTTGACATTGTGTCGTAAATTCGGAAAACTCGTGCTTTACTTAAATGATTGCGTCGTGTATCTTTCTCCAGTGTTCGCTTAATTTCCTATGGACAGTCATCACAGCAGCTTTCTGAAAATACTGGCAGCAATATAAAGCCCAGACATCAGACCTCATGCTCTGCTTCCTCTGTCATTGTAAACCAGCATCAGAGACGCTTTGTTCTTCTTTAGACCACTGACCAACATAGTATGAGATGAAATGTTTCATGATTAACCTCAAAACCATTCTCCATCTCTCTCTCTTAAAGCTGTTATCTTTTGCACATCACTTGAGTTACAGTAAAAAAAAAAAGAGAGCATTGTCAAATTTTTTTACGAGCTAGACAAAGAGACACACAATCCCTTTGACACACAATCAGGCTGCTTGAAGTAGAAGATATCCGCCGATCCATTACAGCAGGATCACAAGGGAGGCATCTATATTTAACTACCTGTTCCTCCTCTTCCCTTATCAGGCGTCATGTTTCACCACATCACTACACTTCTGATGTGAGTGGCCACTGATACACCAGGCAGAGCTTCCACCCTTTGGTGAACGAAAGGCATCAAATCAAGCGCAGAGGAAAGTGGATACAGAAAACCCCAGCTTACTTGTCAGTGATGTACTTGATGTTGTCATGCATGCTCTGGTCCGTCCGCCCTTTGTATGGCTGTATGTGAAAGGCCACCTGTAAAAACATACATTCGAACATGGATATTGATTAAAAACCTAAAGCAGAACATTAATACACAAAGAGCTGAAAATTTGAATTTCAAATCATTATTATCCTAGTATATAATTTGTTTTGCTTGACAGCCAGTATGAAGGGAATATTTAATTAGTGGTCTGTGGACAACCCTAGTTATTTCACCACGCTGTTTGTGGATCAATGTTGACTCGATTGTTGATTCTGGAGGTACTTTTTCCACAGTGGATCCATGTTTTTGTTTTTAAATGTCAAACTGCTCCACATTGTGACAGTGTCGTGCTCGTTGTAAGCACCAGTGTGCTGTCACAGCTTTAAGTGAGGAGAAGGAACAGTCTATATTAGTTTAAAAAGAAGCCACTGACACACAGGACCCTATTTTACACCCAGCCCAAAGCGATGCAAATTAATGCCAAACAATACTTAAATGTCTTTGCTAGATTCAGACCAGCACAATTGTCTTTTTTGTCCAGGACCCACACTGGTTTTAAATAGCAAATGCTATTTAGGTTCAATATAAATGCTTTGCTGCCACATATGGAATCTCAGCATGCAAGAACACTGAATGTTTTATCCAAAACACGTCCCTGCATGAAATCCTGGCAGGGACGGCAGCATATGATGGATTTACATTACACTGTGGTGAAATGCATCTTTACCTGAGCAGTACTGAAGAAAGGTGGTCATAATCTCCATAGTCATACTCGCAACTTAGGCCAAGTTCAATCTGAACGTGGAGTTTGTTATCTTCAGTCAGTCTATTTATATTAATGGCCTTCTTTTTTTATTATTAATATGATCAAAAAATTAATGAGGCTGGGACCTCATAGGGTTATAAATATTTCTACTTGTATTTAGTGTTTCTTAAACTGTATGCTAAAAAATTTATTTTAACAGCAGCTCAAGCAATACATTAAAAATAAGTACATTTCCCAGGATATAGTGAATATGTGAAAAATGCTAATCCCTATTGTGCACCATTTGGACCTGGAGTACATGCTTAATAACAGAAAATGTGGTTTTAAGTAAAACACTGTATTCTGCAATATTCTCCAAAATATTAAGTTGTAAGTTGTGAAAATTGTGTTGTTGCTTTGAGTCTATTATTTTTTATAACAAATAAACAAAATCGATATCATATTTATATTGTTACATAAATAAGACATGACAGTAAGAACATTCATAAAGTACACAGGCCACAAGAATCAAGCTAACATACTCTGAGTCTGCTGTTCTATTCGTACATGAACTAATATATAGATTCAAATCTCTGCAGACTTATTGTTATTCTTCAACACACAGGCAGTTGGGTATATACAAGAAGTGCAGGAGGTAGAGACAGTGTAGGAGAGCTAGTATCTTCTGAGTCACATCAGGTTGAGTCAAGCATATGAGCGTGTGGTGCTGCCTGGCTCATATACCTGCAAGAGCTGTGCACTACAGTGAGCACCAAGGGCAGAAGTCTTTCTCCAACTGCACTGCACAAACCTTTTTTAAACATTGTTCATGGTTGGGATCACTGACTGTTAGACACATCATTTGAAATTGAGAATATTTAAATTACATTGGGAGTTTTTAAATTGTGAATTTGATTAAGTCAGACTGAGTGTGCTTAAGATTCTTGCATGGACACAGACAGGCAGCCAAACTGTGTCTTTCTCCTGTGCTATAATGGAAGGAGACAGAAGGCTAGCGAGAGGCCAAGTGCAGCCTGCAGGATACCGAGCATTTCTGGAGAATGTAGGTGAGAGGGAGGTGGAGCAGCGAACAAGTGAAGCAGATGCTCACCATCCCTGCAGCCATGTCCCGTATTGTTATTTCATCCGTCAACACTTTCCGAGGAGTTGGGATCTTTTCCACTGACTCAGAGTGTCTCAGAAATCTGGGTTTAGCTGACTCTTAGTACTGAAATATTAAAAGAACATCTGCTGAGTGATCCAGAGGGAATTTTAGTTCTTATGCGTGACAAAATCAATAAAGCTGATGGTGTGACAAAGACTTCATCAAGAACAGCGTTATGTTCTCTCACAGGAGTTGAGAGGTAAAGGATGGATGACCTCTGTCATCCATGCAAATAGGAAACTATTGTGTGCTTGTTTTCTTCAGTCACAGAGAGAGAGGGGTCTACTGCAGCACAGTAAAGCATTGACAGAGCTGTAGAGCCACAAACACTGAATGCTCAACGCCCACTCTATCTTTAAAAAGAGGCTGCAAGGTCTTCATAAACAGTTTCTATGGCAACATGGCAGCAATTGGCGCCTGGGCTCGGGCTCGTCAGCTGTCTTGAGTGGTTGGAAATTATGAAAGACCAGTGAGGTAAGATGCTGTTCAATCTGTTCCCGTTTGGCCGAATAAGCCGGAGACGAGTGCAGATGAATCGTGCTTTCTTTGGTCAGACTCCTCCATGTTGTGCGATGCTGACAGACTCATATTTACATTCCAGGCCTCAGTGTTTGGCTGCTCATCAGATAATGAAGATATGTTATAGCATTAGGCTGGTCTGTGCTAGTTAAAAATGTCCTCATCTTTCTTCCTCCCCAGTTATATGCTTATATTACTTTATTTTCATATATATGTTGTGGCATTAACTCACAGGCAACAGCATAGATTTGAGGATTGTTGAGTAGATTTTATTGAACTCTTCAAACTGGTTTCTTTGGTAGTGATTTCCATCTGTTGTGCTAAAAGATCCAACTCATTTAGGATTGATGGTGGATAAAGAACTAATTGATGGCTGTATAAGAATTGGTGTGTGAGGTCAGAACTTTGTAAATAAGGTGAACATTTCATGCAAACAATGACCTGTTAACTCATAATATCTTTAACTAATAATTGTTTAATTATATTCGTCATTTGGTGCAATAGGCAGGCTGTGGCCGTGCTGGTTGCTCTCTGTGGATTTGTCAGCATATAAGCAACACCTTACACAGTACACATGCAACATTTTCAAATCAGTGCTGCTTAAACTTGCCGTCACATTTTTTCAGCAAAAGCACATTGACTTTGTATATGTTGAAAACGAATCTATGTTCCACTAGGTTTTATTAAAAGCGTAACATCATTAAAACCAAAGAGATTCCTCGTGACCTTGTCATAGTGAGAGGCTTTCTGTTGTCACAATGATGGATTTTGTCATTAGAACGTAGAACTTTTCTGCTCTACTAAAGTTTTAATTGTCTGCTTTTCACAGAGCAAACAGGGTCAATCCATGTTTAATTAGTGAGGATGAGGGGGGGGGTGGCTGGAGGGGATTATAGATCAGCCCGTGTCGTCCTGTCTGTCATCTGTGATGTGCTGACCGATGTCTCTGACACCAGTGGCCTGCTTTGGATGAAGTTAACAAGGATGTTCAATCTTTTCACCTCAACCCACTTTGGAATCTTGACAGAGAAACTCCTCCTGTGTCAAAATCACTATATCCAGTGATGTGATGGGAGGTGTACATGTATGACACTTGCAGAGGAAGGGTGGACACGCACATCACTGCTCATACACACAGACTTCAGCCTGCATTTTGTCAGCGGCGGCTCTGGTGCACTGAAACACTGGCGCATTAGCCCTCAGGTCAGCTGTGAGATACACACTGTTGTGTAAGTCTGACTGAGACACACAGAGAGACCCAGTTCTCAGTTTAAGACTTCCATATAAGGAGCGTGAAAGTAGAGTGACGGAAAGCTCCTCTGTCCTGTCGATGCTGAATCTACAGTCTGTGCTCAGCTTGTTTTGCTGCCTGTCTGGAGCACCTTCAGCATCTTATAGCTCGATGGTATCTGCAAGCCCTCAGTGTTTAAGTACGTAGGACTTTGTGAGATGGAATTGTGCACTGAAGGGAAAATCTACCCCAAAGCACTTTAAGTCTTTGGCTTTGGTTGGAATGAGTCCGATAGCACAACATTTTCATCTCTCTGCAACGACAATACAACTATAAATGTCAGGTTTTCAGGTCAGAGCATCAACATTGAAACAGATTTCTTGATGTTGAGAAGTCTCAGTCGACCAGAAGGCAATGCAGCTGCAAGACTTTGTGTTTTGAATTAAGGGAGTGACACACATCGGACCTTATCTTAAACCTTGTGCAAGGCAGCACATGATGCAAGTGTCTTTGATAGTTCCATAAAGAGCACTCATGATATTTAAATAGGATAATAACTTGTGTGTCTTAAAATAAGATGTGGTTGTGCACAAGCAGATCTGTTTTCTCTGCAGAAAGTTTTACTGGTGCTATATTTAAGACTGTGCCCACTTCTGCTATTATGTGATGGCATGTAACTGGAGATTTTGTGCCACCAGCTGTTTATCTTGACAAGGAAAGTCCTTGATTTTCATGAGTAGTGAATAGAATCGTATTAATTAATATTTTCTTTTACCAAATTTCTCAGAAATCTGATAAAGTTACAAGGAAGGAAAACCACTTAAAGGAAGCTATTTTAGCCTAAGCTGTTTTTCACTGTACTTTGATGTCACTCTGTTGTGATTAATACAACCTGCTCCATGATCTTTCTGCCATTTCCAAACGTGCAAGCGGTAAACATAGAGATGGCGACACTTGAGATCTATATTTGGCTAATGTCTAGATCAAGACAGAAAAAGCGAAGGGTGGTCTGTCGGAACCCTGAATCAGACACATTGTGAAAATATCAAGGACTCCCTATTACCCCGCGGGGTATTGCATCTTGTATATGTGTTGCATTGATTTCTGAGGCTGTGAGCAACGTATGCACCCAATGGACGCAGGATACGCAAAGCAGCCATTTTGTGTACATGTACGTGTAATTAACAGCAAGTATATTATGACCCCTAATGGTAACTGAAGGTTAATTTGTAAGCCTGCTAGATTGTTGTGACTTATTGGCGAATATAGTAATAGTGGTTAGCTTCCAAGCTGCAGAAGTTTATTGACTAGCCAACTAACAGGCAACGCAAGAGGCACCTTTAAAACACAGAGATATTAAAGACAAGAAACAAACGCATCATTCATCACTATGTAATGTAACAAGGCCTCTGTGTTCTTGCTATTGCTACCTACAGTACATGTCTCAGAGCGGACGACCCCTCCATTCACTTATATTTCACTTTATACTCACTTTACCAGTTGTATCAGGCTCTCCTGAAAGCTTACACTGGTTTTACTTTTTGTCAAATAGAACATTGATAATTTCATTTTTTTATTGGCAGTGTTCTAAAGGAGCATGTGACCTACCAATGACATGTTAGTTCAATGTTAGATTATGACTTTGAGACACATATTGATATCATATCACAACCAACATGAATTGATTCAAAGAAGCTTTCTTATTTCCATGCTGAATATGAACATTTTTAGCTTTTGTCTTATGCTACCACACAATTAATTGTCACTGGCAAGCCATTCACTCATTCAGTAAATCATCAGAAAGGAAAAAACATACCGGTTGTCTCACCAGTTACCTTGATGCTGTGCCTGTGGGCGGCGTCCATGACAGCGGGAACCAGGTCCTCCGTGGGCTCCCCGTGGTCGTCTGCCACCCCAGGAGGATACCAGGACAACACCAACACCCCTACAACACCGGGATGGAGAGGAGGGGAGAGAAATACTTATTTTCCAATATCGCCATTGACCCTTTCGTTCCATCCCAGCCTGGTAGAACTTAGCACATTGTAAACTGTAAAATCTGATACGTTGATTTTACTTTAAAGAACTACAACTGTTAGAGTTTAGTTATGTTTAATTTACATTTACTTATTCATTTTACTAAAACTTCAGTTGTACTCCAACTTAAAAATGGCAAGAGAAGGTATCACGTTCTTTCTAAACAGACAATTACTGTTTAATTATAGCTACTGGAAGAGCAAGGTTGCAAAGTTGCTCTTGTTGTTTTGCATTATAGTGCAATATCAATATTCTAGGATCTCTTAAGTTTTGCCTATGGGAGGAGGCCAACACACACCACAACAAGCAAACCATGCAGACCGAGCGTTGCCAAAACTGTTACCTGCTGCAGCCGCTTCTATCTGGGCCATGTGTGACTCCAGCACCGTCGGGTCCCTGGAGCTGTAGGGTCCCAGTTCAGGGTAGAAACTCGAGGCGATGTCCTCCGGTGGCGTGTGCCTTCCCTGAGCGTGACTGGCCGCGATCTTAGGGTCCCAGTGTGGCACCAGCACATGATCCCAGTGGATGTACTTGTTGTCCATGCCGGGGGAGCCGTACCACAGATAGTAGAATATGTGCACATCGTAGAAGATGCTGTAGTCTCGGTCGGACCTGCTGAAGACCACCTTCGTGTCGCTGCTGCCCATGTGGAACTGGCCCGGCGACGCAGCCACGTCTTTCACGTCGAGCCGCCGCCTGTCGGACCGCTCCACGATGAGGTCCATGCCGGGGGCCATGTCCGAGAAGCCGTCGCTGGGTTTGAGCGTCCGCAGCCCCATCATGGTGCCGAAGATGAAGAGCGTGAAGAGGAAGAGCGCGACGAGAGCCTTCCTGCGGAGGCGCGTCATGGTCGCTGTCCGTGGTGCTGCGGAGCCGCGACAGCAGCCAGCGGGAGGAGTGATGCGGCTTCGCCCTAACTACAGCCCGAGAGCGCGCGGATCGTCTGTCAGCATCGAGCAGGTAGAAGAGAGGAAACGCTGGCTGGGATGGAGTCTGTGTCAAACGCACGACGACTAGAGGGATCTCACATCACTCCCATCACCACGACCCGAGGGCGTCCCGCTCCGCGTCGCTGCCACGCTAAATCTCCTCCTGGTCGTCTGCGCGCAGCCATGATGCTCATGTCGGATTAGATCCCCCCTCCATCGGTTCTCCTCAGAGGGGAAGTGACACGTCGCTCAACAGTTCCTCCATGTCTCTGTCAGCAGCGCAGAGGTTTCTATCAAAGCTGGAACAAACCAAGTGTGGTTACCTTTGTTTTCCATCCAATCAGCCTGTTCTCCTCTCCTCTCCTTCTCCTCCTCTCATCCCATCCCCATCACACCTGTCTCTGTCGCCAGACACAGTCCTGGATTAGAGAGACACTGTGTTTACTGGCTGTTCAGACCAGAGAGAAGAATGAAACAGAGCATGTGTATCTGTGCTGATGGCAGGAGGGAGGTGGGATTAACCCCGACCACCGGAAAGAGATGTATGAGGGGCGATTAGAGCCACAAAGAAGGAGCGGTGGACCTTAAAGGTTCAGTGTGAGGAATTTTGTGGTGAATTTGCATTAAGAAGCTGAATACCCCTCATCTCACCCTCCCCTTCCAAACATAACAAAACCAGTGGTAGCCTTCGATTTTTATGAAAACTCAAAATGTGTTTAGTTTGTCCAGTCTGGACGACTATAAAAAACATGGCAGCCTCCGTAGAGAGGACCATCTCCCAATGTAAATATAAAGTATTTAAATATGAAGGGGGTAAAGAATGTATATTCAATTTCTGCCTTTCACCTAAATCTTACACACTGAACCTTTAATGGCTGTCTTTGGGAATTCAAGCGTTAGTATGACTTTGGAGGTATATTAGTTTACTGTAGACAAATATAAGTAATAAATAATCATGATTAAACCTATGAATATTCACACAATTTGATGACAACAGTACTTTCATCAGTGTCCGTGCAGGAAGAAAGTTGATGTATATACAGTTAATTTTGTATGTGTAATGTTTTTTATGTAAAGTACTTTGAATTTCTAGTTATTTAAAATATAAAATGTGCTATACAAATAAACCTTTTTTTGCCTAAAGGTTTTTGTTTAAATATGCATCTCTTCCCTCCCATTCACTATGGCACTAATCACCTCTCATACAGACATCACCTTTTTGTTATAATATAATATATAGAAAATATAACTCAGCAGTATTTTAGTTATTTAGTTAACTGTAGTTAGTTTGCCTCAACATTAAGACTCATATAATAAAGAAAATCTGTTTTTTTGCTTCCATCTCCTTTGTGACATTCAGGGACTTTTTAAACTGTCGTTTCTGCTTTTTGGATGTTTCGTCATCTCCTCTGTGCTATAAATATGTTATTGCTTAAAGGATGATGCAGTTTGCAGTAACCACTTTATTTAACCTTATCTATATTTAACCAGATTAACATGGAAATGAATTGGGTGTAGTTTGGTGACTGGCAGTCTTACCCAATGGGACAAAGTGGAAAGGAAACTCAAGATCATCTTGTGCAAAAGCCTGAAAATGGTCATAAAATACCTGAAACCTTATTTTTGTTGTATTACTTTACAGCTCGGATGGGTCTAGTTCGAGCTAAATCCCTGATGTGTCAGAGTTTCAGCTCCACACAACCATTCATAAAATATAAAATGAATAACAGTGTGATTTATCTGAAATTGGTGATTGTGTGCAATACAATAACATTTATTTGCTGATGTATTTGTTTTTGTTTATGATGCATAGATCCCTCTTGGCAATATTCACCACTCATCCTATTGTTCTTTGACTCATGGGTGGTCTCACAGAATGCATGCTTGAGGTGACACCTAGTGGGAGTGAATGGAGTGTTACTCCAGACGTGTTCGACCCTCACGTCATTACCCTGCCAGCTGAACACCTGAACAAGGCTATGATCATATAACTAATAGGCTGTGGTGAAGGAGATTTATCCAGCCTTGAATGCTTTCATTCTTTATTCTTATCTGTAATTCAATATCACTGAGGCAATTTAATGAAACCTTAAGACACAATAAGACTGGACCCACAGAAAAAAGGGAAATTGCCTCCTTTATGTGCCTTATTTATTAGTATCAGAAGCAAACATGTAACTGTATGTCTTTTATACATGACAAATACAACAATTATTTCAATAATCAAGTTAATCTGTCCATGTGATATTGTACTTACACCTATAAGCTACTTGGAGTTTGAGAGATACGATTAAAGGCAGAAAAAGTCAAAAAATCATGATCATCAACTGCTCCAGATGTTGCAGGAAGTCAAAGAGGATGGATAACTGCAGCGAGCCCTTTGCTGAGACCCTCTGGCCTATCAGGGAGTCTCCATCTGTTCCCTCAGTCATACAGCTGGGCTCAAAGCTGTACCGCTGTCTTCAGTTGGGCTTAAAGCTGCACTGCCGGCGTGTCGATTTGTTTCCAGTAGAGTTGCTCTTGTTAGGATTCGTGATTGAGGTGACGTAGTGTCCCCATGCAGCAGAATCACTTCTTCTCTTTTTGCCACCCCTTCATGGATATCCCACATTAGATCATTTTAAATGACCTGTTCATGGAGACATATCAATCAATCACATTTTATTTGTAAAGCACATATTCACAAATCACAACTTGTCTCAAATGGCTTAACAAGGTGCAACACCCTGTGTCCTTAACCCTCAACAGCATTAAGGGAAAACTACCAAAATAAAAGACTTTTAAGAGAGAAAAATGTAACATATGCATCAGATCATTTCCAGTGAGCAGACAGAGTGGGCAGAGATCGTATGAACCAATTGAAACACTTAATTCACTTTTCCTCAGGCTTCTGTCCAAAGTGCTCTCGCCTCCTCTCATACCAGTACACAGCGATTTTAAAACTATTAATATTCTCTTTAAACATTTCTTGAAAAAGAAGTAGTATTTATTCCTGCATCATTATAACATTTCTTCTCACAATCACTTTCATATCACTCTTAACAAGTTAATTATACATTTTTATGGTTACATTGACTCAGTGACTTATGTTTCTTATTTTCAGTTTATTGAATCATTTTAAAAAAAATATTTAACTTCCACTTTATGTCACTGTTGATCTCTACATGGTTTTCTTCTCTCTGTGCTGGTTGATGTTTGACAGTTCAGGTATCGGTTCTGCTTGACTTCCTGGATACTCTGTAAGAGAAAGGGCGTGTTAAGGTTGTCTCTCTGTTCATGGACCTCAGTGGTGTTGTTCTTCTGTCTTGACTCGGACATGGCACAGCCTCTAACTCCTGAATCAGGTTTCCAGAGTTAACCCATCATCAACGTCCATCCCTCTGCTCTTTTTGATACGGTGCATTTATTATGAGCGTGACTGTTCGTCCCGGTGCACTGAATGTAGAGAGTAGACTCATTTTTGTGAGTGTGAATACTGCACATCCATGTGTCACCTGAAGATGGAGTCTGTGTATCTCCAATGGAATAAATTACACAAGACACTGAGGGCACACATTGTTTTGTTTTGGATGTTTTTGCATTAATAAATACTGTTTGGTAAATGAGACATTTCCAACTATAGATTCAGTTTTTATCGAGTGACAACCCGAGGTAACATGTTTAGAGGCAAAACAGTACAAGCATAGTTTGTGTCTCAACAACAGATTAACACAAAAATGAAAGAATTAGATATTTGGAAATATCTCAGAACAGTCCCCCCAAAACTCCAAAAATAGATTTAATCATTTTTAAAAATTTAATCACCCACATAGTGAAGTCTGTAGAAAATGTATTTGCATATTAGATCAATTGTTCACTGTTTTATTCACAGACATTGCCTCATCATGAACACAACATTACAAACATGTCATTTAATGAAATATAAACATTTCTAAAACTAATATATTGTGAAAAGAGGATGCCCAGGATATCACAATATTGAGAAAACTTATGTGAAGGTTTGAGGGACATTTAATGATAATAGACTACATTTTGTTTTACTTATACATAAACATACACACATAAATCTTCAGTTTTTTGTGTGTACGACATGAACTCACTGATTTAATTATTAAATGTTTCAACCCTATGGGTATTTATCCACTGCTGCAAACTGCGGCACAGTGTAATCACTTTTAACTTCGACCCTGTCCGCTGGACTGGTTGTTTGCGTGTTTGTCAGCAGGATTACTCAAAAACTACCGTCTTTAATATTGTGAGACAGAATCTTGATGAAGAAAATCCGACATATTTGGGTGAGTGATATTTATGAGTGTGTGCAATTTGCAGCTTGATTGAAATGAAGGGGACTGTTGGACCTTGGCGGAGAACGTGCTGCTGAGAGCTACTCAGTCCCTGAAGTGTCTCAGAGGGAGGCCTTCTCTGTGTCACAGGAGCTGTTCTTGGTGCGAAAACAGTTTGTCTGCTTCTTCCCTTCATTTTTGATTGTGCTAGTTAGACAGCAACAACCTCTCATTCCTGTGCTTATATGCACGACCCTTTGACCATATTCAAACAGAGGATATATTGACACAGATACACACATGTATATAGGGATACATATACACTACAAATACACATGGATACACAATGAATCATATCACACAACAAATTAGAAGACACTCACTAGGCCCAAAGGTCTACTTAAATTCAATCAAGCTAAAGTCATAGACTAAAGTCATAGACTGTAAATAAAGATGGATGATTCCACTTCCTCCACTGTACTAACATGGATCCAAAACATTGCAGATAAAGGAGCTGCCATCTTGCGCTGGTTACATCAGTTGGAGTCGGTCTGAACAATACACACACTCACAATCACGAGTCAGTCTCAGCTGTCAATCATGACACTTCATAAAACTACCTCAAACCAAACCAGAAATATAAACACTGGAACAAACATCAGTGGGATGAGGACAAACTAAAAAGACAGAAACCATCTTTGTCAAAAAGTTAGGATAATTAACATGTGCTTTGGTCTCGTTTGCTAACAATGGTGGTGGTGGGTTTATGCAGCTATGTGGAAGATGACTTGACTCCATTTGAGTGGGAGCTGTTATGTCGTCCATCTTTATATACAGTCTATGGGTCTAGTGAACCATGTTGAATAAAAGTTAATAACGTAGTGACTCTTAAAAATATTTATATACTCACTGGATTCAAACTCTTTTTACCTGTTGCTGTGGTGAATGGTACGCTTTAACCTCGGCTTGAACACAGTCAGAGATGACTGAACTGAGACAAAATAAACCAACCTCAAGATTCACTGGCTAAATCTTAATTCTACTTTCTGTAAGATTATGCAATCAGAGTCACTGCTGCTTTAAAAAAGTCCTGAATATCAACATCTGGTAAAATTGATCTGTTTTCATTTTCTCTGAATACTAAAGTCAATCAAAGAGCAAACACCAATAAATCTTGTTATAGTCCTGTAAAAGTCCAGACTCCCACCTGTCACTGTTGCCTGTTTGGGCCTGAGGTGGCCTGCGGCAGGCGGTGCTACCCAGGGCTTGTTGTGGGAGGCATATCTGTCACAACATGGCAGCATTATAGATTTGTTATTGATCAGGTTTATTGATTGATGTCCCTCTGGAGGCGGGGTGAAAGGTGAGCTGACAGGCCTCCCAGTGCGACCGCTGCTGATTTTGTCCTGCATTAATACACAAGGGCCCAGGCCCTCCCAAAGTGTGTTTTTAAATCATACACAACGTCATCTCCTAGTTTGCATACAGCAGCAATGATCACAGATTATTTGTCTAATAATAGGTTTTTAGTCTCTATAACAACAACAATCCACTGAAACACGCAGAATTAATCCCAACACTTGATATTTGTTTAGCTTGTTGAGACCTCGATTTTACCCTTAATTTGAAAAGGCAAAAACTAAATCCTGTTAAAATTATGAGTAAATGCAATTTTAATTTGAAAGATAGCCTTTTAAATGTCCCTTTAAGGTTTAAATAGGATGAAGGGTTGATATAAAATACCCTGCCAAAACTAAAACTACACCGTAAATATCCTGACATTTTAAAAGATTACTATTCAGGTAGTTTGATTTAGCGAGAATACATTAATGGACAGTAATATAGGGATTTATGTGTTTTCTACAGATTATGTCTTGTAAATTGTAAATATAAAACATGACTGGGTTATTATGAATTTGTGCATGAAAGGACCATGTATAATTCAGTCAGGGGGGCAATGCACAATCCGAAGTTTTATCCACATTAAGGGATTTTAGAGTTAAAGATAAGGGAATTAGTGTCATTTATGGTTTAAACTAAGGGACGGGTTCAATGTCATGTGCCCAATTTTAATTATTAGTATTTGACTTATTTTGGCTGTCAGAATGTTTTAATTTATTCTAATTTATTTGTAGAATTTAAGGCACTGCGTTATCCCTCATAGGCCCAAGGATGCAAATTACTGATTGGTCAGTTTGTCTATTGGTTTGGTTTCTTCTCATTGGACATGTGTGACGTATCTGAGATTGGAAATCACGTGGACTTGACCGAAAAGATGGAGATCGGTGTGTGTGTGTGTGTGTGTGTGTNTGTGTGTGTGTGTGTGTGTGTGTGTGTGTGTGTGTGTGGGGTGGGGGGTTGCTGGAGGTAGGAGGGTCAGAGGGCTTGTGCACATTGTGCAAGGAGCGAGCAGGAGGCAGGGGAACACATTCTCTCCTGGAGGATTGCGGACACACGCATGCACGCCAACACACGGAGATAAACGTGCACGGATGTTCTGCATGAAGTTAACTGGGTCCATGTAACCGCCTGTGGTCCGGAGCAGCGTGTGCGGGAGGGAACCTGTGACCATGGCAGAAGGTAGGAGGAGAGGAGGGAGCTGCAGGGGAGATGCTCTGAAAGAATGAACAAGAGAGAGAGAGAAGGAGAGATGAGGGTTCTTCCTCTTGTGTTGTCTTTCCCTTCTCTTTCTGAAGGGCTTGTTTGTGGTTGTCTAGTGAGAGAAGTGTGGAGAGCTGCTGCCATGACTTGTTGGAGCAGAGCAGAGCTGCAGGAGGTGTTGGAGGAGCGCAGAGACATTTAAACCATCACTTCGTGACAAGTCAAACTTTTAGTGTTGCAAAATTAAACTCTGTTCTTTTTTTTCCTGTTTTTTTTTCACCGAAACGAAACAAACTGCTCCTCAGCGTAAAAACAAAACTTAGTTGATTCGTTCTGTCATCGCGCATATTTAGAGAGATGATATAATAGCTACTCTGTTTGCATTAATGGGATAAATCCAATGTGTCACATTTGTTGACATGTGTTTGTTTGTGCTGCAGGTTGACCTTGCATTCTTAATTATGTCAGTAGAAGGTATTACACGGTTCGAGCTCTTCTGATGAAGACAAAATAGAAACTATCCAACAAAATGATAAAAAAACAACTGGACTGTTATAGCATATTCTCATTCCATAATATTTTATTTGGTGCTAAATGGAATACTTGTGGTTTGTGGACTGTTGTGGACTAAACAAGACATTTAAATAAATCATTTCGTAATCGACATTTTCACAGTTAATTGATTAATTGAGAAATTGAACTGTAGATTAATACATAATAAAATAATTGCCATGTTATTATGTCATCTACCAAATTGTATCTCCAGGGTAACTATCTGATCATTTAATGTTAGATATTAACAATATGCTAGTACCAGCCTGTCATGCTTTTATATCATATCATATCATTTGTGTGCTGTGCTGTGCAGGAGGGTGTGAGGAGGAGGAGGCGGCTCTGACCCGGGGCAGCGGGGTGTGTAAGTGGTTCAACGTGCGGATGGGTTTCGGCTTCTTGTCCATGGAGACCAGGGACGGAGCAGCTCTGGAGCAGCCGCTGGATGTGTTCGTCCATCAGGTGAGACCATGCTGCTGCTCTCATGTTTGACTCTTTCATGGGGGACACAGCGCAGGCCTCACAGTGTGTGTCTCTTTGTTCCCTTGTGTTGTTCTTACATTCATTTTAAGGAAGCCCCATAGGAAATCAAGTCATTAGCTGCTGCACCACCTGGAAACATGTGGAGGGAATGAATGTGATGCAGTTGCTAAGATGGATGAGAATGTTGGAGTTAATATTTAACAGTTTGATTTCAAATCCATCTTAGTGGAACACTGGTAAAATCACAGAAAACTCATCAAGCAGATGAAGGTTGATTATGATGATACAGATTTTTGATAATGATTAAGTATTTAGAGGAGCTAAAGCCTAAATGCAGTCCATTCATCCTAGTTTTCTCCACACCTTTATACCAAACAACTGCTTTAACAATATGTTGTTCACTTTAACAAAACTTTATTTCTCTAAAACTATGAAACATGAGGGTTTAATTTCAAATTCTCTTTTTACATGTGATGTTTATGCAAACTGAACATGCACAGGTCTCTTTACAATGCAGAGTTATATATATAAGGAAGAGAAACTCTTCCAATGTGAACAGAAACATGTTTTATACAATTTTAATGACATCAAGATAAAAAAAACCTGTTTGTATAGACACGTCCATTAGCCTTATGTGATCTTCCTTTTCAGAATTCAGAATTAGATCTTAACATTTAAGATCCTTACGTCAGGTTTTCTCAGTCAGTGTGTTATAGAACTGACTTAAACTGTGGGGTTAAGTTAGATTTAGCAGGCCTAAGACAATTTATGTGTTTTTTTGTGTAAAAACATCAACACATCTTTATGTCACCCGTCACCAAACCACTGCTGCCACTCGTCCACTCAGTTCCACTCACAGACTCAACTTAAAAGGTGCAGAATGGAGGGGTGGGGGGCTAGGGCTCAAACGTTTCTTTTTAAAAGGGGTTAGAGGCTAAAGCAGAGATAACAAGGCCCATTCCTCTCCCTATGCAGCCCTGCTTCCTGTTATAAAGTCATTAAAGCATCAGGGAGCCCACCCAGCCCCGACTCTCAGTCCCACCTCACAAGTGGAGCTGTGTGGCAGAGACCTCTCCTCAGGTTTCTCCAGTGAAGCTGTAAATCATGTGAGGAAATAGAGAGAGTAAGGGCTGCATGATATGAGCTTCAGTGAGATGTAGGTGTCAGTCTGGTAGCAGGGGTTTAATAAAACGTGACACGGTGAGCTGTGTAGAATGTTCCATTCATATTTCCATTTACACGTTGCAGAGTATAGTCTGATTATCATACATGTCAACGTTACGTCCACTACGCTGTATGTCCAGCAACTCTGCGTTCACAAACTTTATTATATCTATTTGTCTTAAAACATAACGATAGCATAATTACGGTGTCAGTGACTTTGTCGTAGCGCCAGCAATCTTGGTTACACTCACACCCAGGGCATGTGCCATCAAGTAGAACTGTCGTATATTGATTTCGCAAAATGCTGTGAAAACTTTAATTGGACGTGAAGATGTATACATGTCCATATAATGTGGTTAAGGTCATAATACTGCACATCGTATTCGATTATTGCTAACTGACCTTATAAGGCTTAAGATAGATAGATAGATAGATAGATAGATAGATAGATAGATAGATAGATAGACAGATTAAGTTATTTTGATTATGAGAATGCCAGATTTGGAAAGTTCAAATCACTTAACATCACTCATGCGTCCAGTTCTTTTCTTTTTAACAGACTAGCCAAACAATAAAATTACATTTATCATGTGCTGTAGAGTTTTCTCCAGGAAACACTGCAGGGGTTGAGATGATAAATAAATTATCAAACCAGTAATAACATTTTCCTTCTGATGTATTTGTTGCTGCAGTTTGGTTGTTCATTTCTGGTTGTGCATTTCTGGGAAACAGGGTTGCCAGGAAAGCACCCCTTCCCCCCTTGTGTCATTACCCAGCATCCTCTAGTGCAGTGGTCAGCTTTGGACCTGACCAAGTAGATTCATTGATTGATAGATTCTGCGGCCGCGTCTCCGTGGTGCTGAGGTACAGGAGCCACAAGAGCAGGAGGGGAGCACAAAAGCACTGATGTTTTAACAGGCCTGTCTAAAGGATTAGATTTTTTATGAGGGAGCTGAGGATTCCCCGACAGACTGATGATATGTTTCTTTCATAATCGGCACCTAAACAATTGTACCTCTTTTCTCACAAATGTTTATCCAAAATCATGGATTTGCCTTAAGATATTACAAAAATCAAAAAAGCTAAAAAGAAGTGCTCGACAGATTTTAACTGAACTAGGTGTTTTTACTTTAGGTTGCGTCTCCACATTCTTTATTTTGGAGCTGTTTGGTCGGGGATAGGGGACGACACCTCTGCTGTAGAGAACTGTATGCTTCTTGTTTTTGTTGAATCCTCCCTGCTTGCAGAAGATAGTAAAATCTTTATGGATGTTTTAATGGGAAGAGAAGCTAGGAGCACGTTCCCTTTGTTCTTATCGTTGTCATTCTGGTCTGTTAATTCCTGATTCCTGAACTGCACAAACAATTAAATGTTCTCCCCAAATATTAGTTTGCTTCCTTTAAATCTTTAAATCAGTGTGCGTTTAGTGAAAGTGAAGAACAAACAAGCCACTGGTCAAGGCAATAAGTGAAAATGCAAGAAATTCGTTTTCATGCTTGATTGAGGTGGAAAACTGAAAATATGTCAAACTGCAGTTTCATCACAAATCCCACAGTGTTTTATAACTAACAAATAAGCTGCTGGTTTGCTGATTTACTGTATTGTGTGTATTGTATTGTACGTTTTGTCTCAGGCATTCTGTTCTAACCTCCCAATAACCATCACTCTTTTCACTTAACAGAGTAAACTGCACATGGACGGCTTCCGCAGCCTCAGAGAGGGCGAGGCTGTGGAGTTCACCTTTAAGAAATCATCTAAAGGACTGGAGTCTGTCAGGGTAACTGGGCCCAACGGGGCACCATGTCTGGGCAGTGAGAAAAGACCAAAGAGTGCCCAGAAACGACGCTCCAAAGGGGACAGGTAAGTCCAGTTTGAGGACATCCACATTGGACATAAGGGATAGCTTATCATTTTACACTCATTCACTCCTCAAGCAGTTGAGGCTTACACTTATGCAAGTGTGTCATCCACTAATCAGTGTGTCGGTGGTTTGATCTCCGCCTCATTCAGCTCACATGTACAAGGGTCCTCGAGCAAGACACTGAAGTCCAAATTACCCCCGGTGACTGTGCCAGCAGTGTGTGAATGGGATGTGTGGTAGAGATTGGATGTAGATAGAAGTGATGTATGAATGGGTGGATGTGACCTGCTGTGTCAACACTCTGAATGGTCCTTAACATTAGAAAAAATTAATATAAAGAAGTTCATTTGGGTCAGTTGGTATTGGGATGGACAACATCCGTAGGTCTCCGTGCAGGTTACCTGAACCTGAACCGTTGTGAAGCTCTGTCATAAGTTCAAAAATACAACTACCAACATTCAATGTTCAAGAGTTAAGTTGGTTTAAAACCAGAAATGTTTAAATTATCAGTTGTAGATTAATGGAGAGCTGAGCGCTGGAACTATTTCTTGAGGGGAAAAAATAATAATTTGAATCTGAAACTACACAGTGATATGCAGAGAATTTATTTTCTGCACAGGCATGAAAGTAAGATTTGAGGTGCATTTTCAGCAATGGTATAAGTTACACCTACTAATGCTATGACGCAAATCAATATATACGAGAAAAAGGTCATCAGCGTGCGTCATCCATCTGCACCATTACTGCAGTAAACGTGTGGTGCTCAGTTCATCATTTCATGATGCATTCCTACTGGTTGGTTTCTGACACTATCATAATTTTGCAGCAGGCTATTACTGGTCACACGACCCCAACAGGGACCCTCTCTCATAATGCAATACTACCACTTTCACGATCACAGATAACGCCTTGTTTCTTTCACGTTGATCATCTTTTGCTCGGGGCGGCCCTGGATCATTCAGTGTGTAGCCCCCTTTACGGAGGCTGCACACAGCCTAGACCCCAGGCCTTTGTTTAACAAGAAATACGTCCAGTGTGTTTCTTTGTCTCAGGCCATAAAGGATCATTGTTACATTTCTGTTTTCTCTATCTCAAAATCAAATTTTTATTTTGGAACGAGACAGCCAAACAGTTTCTCCCTGCTTGCGGTCCTAATGATAATCTAGACTGACTATGTCCTGACTCCACTCCCTGACTTCGTGCAATCCTCTCTACTCACCATCTGGCAGAAAGTGAATGAGCTTATTTCTCAACATATCAAACCACTCCATTATGTATACCTTATAGCCGTGAGAGACATTTTGCTTTATGTATAAGAGATATTGCATTAACAGTACAAGCAGTTTGCTGCAGGATGTTGGAGCAGGACAAAGCAAAGGGGGGGGATATGACTCATCATGCTTCAGATTTTATGATATTGAGTTTCACACATTTTTGAGGAAAAATAAGAAATGCACTGTAAAACAAAATGCTGTGTTATTTACTGTCTGTAGCTGTAGGATACAAGTTAGTCCGTTTTCTTTACTGGTCAAGGTCAAATCCTGTCCGTTTGAGTTACAAGGTAAATGTCAAGTATTTTCCTTTGCAAATACAGGAAAGGTAACATGATTTAACATTTAGGACTAATGTAATGAACTGAAAGGATGAAAATCTCATATCACTTTTAAGGGAAACAACAATTTAAATGTGAAAATAAAGTGCAGTGCAGTGAAGACATTTCAACATCTTTCTAACAGAAATCAACGTGTTTGAAAAATACTCAGAAAAATTCAAATTAAGTGAAGTGAACATTTGAAATGAGTCAATTTGCATTTTGTGTAACAAAAGATTTGTTCCATAGTTTAAGAAAACCTCCATCTTTCAGGCCTTGTGATAAGAAGCTTTTATAGCGTTCAGATATGCCAGTTCATCATCTCGTGGATAAAGGATACCTAGAGAGCTCATAAGACACTCAAACAGAAGATACATTTTTAAACGTGTTGGCTCTTTTTGAGAAGCAGGCTGATCTGGATCAATAGACTGTTTGATCTAAGGCTTCAGGCTTCTCCGACCCCAGTGCTAATTTTTTGCCTTCTGTGCAGCCCACACTGCAGCTTCATCTGTTTGTCTCTTGATTACGAAACAAAAATCAAAAGCAATAACTACAACTTATTTGCAATCACTCTTTTCCCGCTTTGATGTTCTTATTAAGAAGTTCCTTTGAGGCTATTAATTTGATAGCATCTCTTAGATTTGACCATATGAATCATGGATGGCAGTGATAAAAGTAGTCCCACATCTTCCTGTCTGGATCTGATTACATTCAGATGTTCAGACTTTCTTCCAAAACATGAATGTTGCAGTCAAGAGAATAAAAGCGTTGGATTTGTAGGTTGGAGGCCATTAAGACCCGACAAAGTAATTATCGCTGACAGAGTTTTTATGAAGTTCAGCTTCATTAATCATGGTGGGCATTGAGCTCTGATAAAAATAATCCCAGAGCTTCCTGTCCTAAAATACTGGCTGCGGTTCTGATTGCATTCACATGTTCCCTTGTTTCTCCCCAACATACATGCTGTATTTTAGAGGAGGAAAAGGATCCTATCCGTTTAATTGATGACAGATGTAGGTGCCCGAGAGAGGTCAGAGGTCACCCCTGCCATGGCAACAATAGGATGTGGTGTGCAAATGAGGTAGAATGGAAGGGTGGGAGGAAGGGCGGTAAGCGAGCGGGGGTCATGGTTCAAAGGTCACAGGAGTACTGAAACAAAGGAGCTCCCTCTGCCACCCTCGTGGCCACGCTGATCAATACTGAGCACTGATGGGGGGCTGGGAGAATGAGAGGAAGTGAGTGGTGGTTAGTGGTGAGATGATCCAGGTTTCCATTCTACTGCTCCAAAGAATGAAGATACTGATATTCTACATTTTTCTTTTTTTATAACAAATGAAAAGACCAAAACAAAAAACTTAATGAATCCTACTAAGAATTATCACCTGATATATTATTTTACCCTGCATCAGAGAGAACTTCATCTACCCACTAATTCTACAAACGTCTGTATTTGGTATCTGTGCATAGCTGGAAAACCATTCATCATGATTTGTAAATGTGATATGTTTAATATTAAATCAGAACAGGTGACCAACGCTCTGTAGCAGTCAGTGGGGGCGGGGCAGTGTACCTTCAGTCTGTGGACGGAGTTAAACGTATCTTCATATACCTCCATTCATACATTGACTAAAAAAAACTTCATTGTAGATAAACCAGGTAGGATAAACACAAAGTTTTCTAACTTTGCTCTGCACCATAGACATACGACAGGACAAATAAACAGCTCATTTCAAACAGGCAGGTTTGTAATGGACACTGGTCATCCAGAAACTAGAAAGAGTCCCATTGTTGCACAAACATATATATATTGTAATTGTATATTTATAATATTTTATATTGTGTGATTGGCATTGCTGCAAACACCTCTACATCAATACTGCATGTCTTAGTATGGAATTATTGAATTGTACTGCTTCAGACGTCTTGCAGAAGTGTTTTATATAATATGTATATGAGTGGACAGGCAGGGCTGACCACACTGCTCCCTTCATTTGTTCACATGTTCACTGGAGCCAGGAGAAAACCAGATTGACCATAAACAATGAAATCAATAGTTTTTGCCTCACTGTTTAAGTGGCCGGTGTGGCTTTGTGTCACACAGAGCAGTCCTGGAGCCTCACTTGCCTTATTTATCCTGCACTAATGAATTCACCCACAGGATTTCGCTGATCGTTAGCTTTCTCTGCATAGATTTACTGATGAAATACCCATTAACCTGAAAGACCGGCAAACAGCAGCCTGGAGGGGGGGCTGCAGTGGTTGTGATCATGATCATCAAGCTTTAGCCACAACTGTTATTTTAAATTTAGAATTTATGCATTTGGATGTTGATTCACTGTTATCATCTACTGATTTTCAGTTGAGGTATGTTGTGTGTTCATATATCAATATGATCACATCGAGTTATCATTGAATTTTTTATTTTATTTCTCTTTAAAAGTGTTAAACTGTTCTGTTTCAATGACAGATTCCACCTAAATGGTAATTTATTTGTTATATACATGGAGCTGTTTTGACTTGTCATGGCAAAAAAGCACAAGTTGTGAGTAATTAATCATGTTTAAGATGGTTTCATTAAATGTCTTAATAAGCCAATGGAATGCAGCCATCATGAAACAATTGCATTGAGTCTAATCAGTTTAATCTTTTAACATTCGATTGTAGCCCTCATACTTATTGTCGTGGTTTAAATATATATTTAAACTTTTAATATGTTATAATAATTATTGTCTTCTCACAATATTTTGCTAAATCTGGTCATTTGCGAGCTTTCAGTCAGATGTTCTTCAAACAAAGCAAACAGAATGCAAGAACATGCATGTACACAGAGCTAATTCAATGTAAAACATGTGGTTCAAGTTTCAGGTTTTTATTTGCAGTGTACAGGTTAACATAAGGTCAACAGTAAAAATATAATAATAGGTGCTGGACGAGATTAAGCAGGTCAGATCTGCAGTGCAGTAATTGAATAAAATAAAAAGCAAGGTAGAAAGAGCATGATAAAAAATATATATAATATATTATTATATCATGGACACAAGACTACAATCCCTGGTGTTTTAGACACATGACATGTAGAAGGAATAGAAGGAATACAATGTATATGGCAAAGAAAAGGGTAAACATACTTTTGCATATTCCAGAAAGTGATCATGCTATGAAAAACAAAGACAAGATATTGGAGCACAGAGCCAAGCTTTCTCGTTCAAAGATGAAGTGACTTACTGAGTAGAGCTCTACCTCTGCCAAGGCCCAACAGGCCCTTTAAATTTAATCAAGCTGCACCAACTTGCTTACACTCATTAATAAGTACCTTGAATATTCTTGATTTATTTTCATCATCAAGTTCTACGAATTTTTTTCTGCAAAATTGGTCAAAACATCAACAAACTCCCTATTTTGCAATGTTAAAGAACAATTCCTGGCTTCGCCCCATGATCCATTTACTCTTTGTTTTACCTATGACACAACTGTGATTTCAAATCATTTTGATGAATGTATTCAGGCTGTGGCACTGTGCTCACTTTCATCCTCTGTTAGGGGAAGTCTTAGGGAGTCTAGCTGTGTGCTGATATGCTCCCAAGAATTGCTGGTTGTTATACAAAAAAATTGTCATTGTGACTTAGATATAAAAAGAACTAGTACACCTCTTAAGGGCAATAAAAGAAATAATAATAATACACCTTTTTTAATTTCTCTCATTGGTAAAATGATGTATAGAGCTTTCTTTTTGTCAAACCATCAGCATGAACGCTAAACATGAAAAAAGAGTAAAAGATCCAAGAATCAATAGTTGGCAGAAACATGCATAAACACATTTGAATAAGTATTCCAGAGTGACTGCATCATATGTTGGCCAGGTAGTTAAAGATCCCCCAGGATGTGTTTCAAAACCCAAAATACTGTGCTGTGAATAAAATATAAAATTCAATCTGCTTTCCTTTTTCCAAAAAGGTCAAAAGAAGACAGAAAACTTTAAACCAAAGGTTCATAATTTCATCCTGAATGGTGAGGGGGAAAGACGATGGTTGTCAAAGCAGCTCTTACACTGTCCCTGAAGAGACAGAGATCAATTTGGCTGAAGACTCTCACAGCTGCCAACCACTTGGTCCCTTCATGTGGATGAACGGTGACAGATATGTTAAGTGACCTGACTCAAAGCTCAGAGTCTGCTGCCCCCTGGTGGTGGAAACTACTTCACTGCAGATGGGCTGTATAAATAAAACATCAACTACATGTAAAATCTCTTAACAATAATAATAATGATAGTAATAATAGTAATCATACCAATAATAAATAAAATAAAGGGTCTATTGGAATTTTACTAAATAACTAAGCTTGTAAAAATATCTGATCACGCAGACACACACACACACAAACACACACACACTGTCATGTAATGCTAGTCAGATTAAAACAATATCATATACAAATTAAGTGTCAGCTGATCTGAGAGAAGTTGAAAATAAAAAACACTTTTTATTTTATTGCCCATCCTATCATAACCTATATACACAGGCTGTATACAAGCTTTATTTGTTTTCAGATGGATGCAGACTTCAGTTCCTGTTTACACACACTTGTGTTAAATGATAACAGCAGCACGGTCTTGTGTTTCAGGCAGAGTCAGTGTCAAAGTTATGTCTCATATGTTCAATGTATGAGAAGTTTTGTGCTCTGATTTGATTGATAGACAGTCTGACATGAATGACGATATATCCTCGCTGCCACAGTGCAATAATTGCATCTTCTCTTTTCAATTCAGATGCTACAACTGTGGAGGACCCGGCCACCATGCCAAAGAATGCCAGCTGCCCCCTCAGCCCAAAAAGTGTCACTTTTGCCAGAGTGTGTCCCACATGGTGGCCAGCTGTCCAGTCAAAGCACAGCAGCAGCAGCAGCATCACTCGTCTCCAGGCTCTCAGGGAACAGCCACCTCTCCGAGGGATGAGGAGGAGGAGCACAGCCAGGCTGTCTTATGAAACCTCAGTCATTCAGGGAATATGTGAGATTACTCACCGGAACACTGCTTACGTGTTACCTCAGGTTTTTATTTATTGAGTGGAAAAAAGGTTCTGATTTTTTGGGGGGGATTGGTTTGTTTTTACATTTTTTTTCCTGACTTAGTGTCTTAGCTTTGGAATGAAACAATCAGACCTACTGTTGATTCAGTCGTGTAGCAGCCACATCTTCTGTGTTTGGACTGATCTGACACGATGCGTGCCTCTGCTAACTCAGCCTCTACACAAAAATACCAACGCAAAAGTCTTACTGGTGGACAACCCTCCAAAACATTATACATACAGGGTTCGAGGAAAGTTGTTCTGAGTGGTTTAAAGTTCAATGGGTTTGACTAATAGTTTGCAGCTGTATGAAGATTTTGACATAGAGCCTGTTGGTTGTGATGGAACAGATGTGGCTTGTGAAGATCAGATGAAAATAATTATATAAATGATTCCATTTAAATGGGCTTTATTTAAGTTTCTGCTGTTGCCACATAGCTTAAGTTAGCATTAGGAGCTGCTTACTTGCCAATCAGGCCTCAACGTTGCAACGTTCAGTCCTGTACTTGCAGAGTAGCTGTCTCTATCACTTCTTTGTGCTACTGGAGTTAGCATTCGAACCAGCTAGCCCTGGCATGGCAGGATGGGACGGCTTCAAAGAAGGATATTCTATAAGCTGTTTGACTATTACATGAAATGATGGCTGAAGCTCTCAGACAACCATCGCCAGCAAACGTACATATGGCACCTTTAAGTGTTCGGCTCTGGTGTTGTGCATGGTTGGATGTTGGCATGCCTTAATGGGACGCTCCATTGGAACACAGCCATCATTAATCGTACTGTATTCGTCTCATTTCCACCTGTGCTTAAATGAATCCCACTGAGAAATGAATGTAGTTTTCACATGTGATCTTAGGCTGCACGCTGTACTTATGTTAGATATGGGAAGCAGGTTATATGCATTGAGTTCTATTTTTCTGCATTTCACTGCCGTGGGCTTTGCCTTTTAAAAACAGTTAGGAAACAGTCAATGCACTTTGTGGAAATGTTTTACAATGTTACAGCTCCACAATCGAATGCAATCCAGTTCCATAACATCGAGTTTCTAATTAATTATAAGGAGATAAACATTGAAAAATGTCTACATTTCAAAGTACGTGGGTGTTACAATACTAGAAACCCCTCTGATTATTATGTAGCTTCATACACCACCATTAATTATGATCTCACTGCTAAAGCGTACTGATATGAGCACCTTGATGACAGTGTCAACACAAACTGAACACAGGCATTATACAATTAGACTTTATGGCAGAGGATTGTGTTGGATTGTATGTAATTATACCTAATGAAGTGGATATTGAGTGGAGCTTATATCAGAATTTATGAACTCAGAGCTGTAATAAAATAACTGTTTACAAATGCTGAGTAAAACACAGGATCCCTCAGTTCTAATAGTTTCACTATTATTGAGATAGTTTGGATTTGAGATGAAATTGAAGTAGCTAACCCAGGTACACACTCCCACATGTGAATGTAAAGAGAAAAATAAGCCCTGAGCTGCCTAACACTAGGACATATTATCAGGTTTTATTTTAAAAAATGTCTCTACTTTCTAATGGGGTTTATACAAGGTGCTTTCAAAGGCCAGATTCCAGAAACACCATTATTTCACTACACACTCACAAGTGAAAAATAATTACGTTTTTCAATTAGTGGTGAAATGTATGTCTTAATACCAAGTTGCGATTTCATAATTTAAACTTATATGCAAGACCAGTGTTGATTGTAAAGACAGGCTTTGTCTGCAGAACAGTATGAATCCAAATGGAATGTTTTAAACACATACATATCAGGGATTTCTCCGCATAAACAAGATGTTCTCAGTTCTTTTACTTGAAAGCTGCAGGTAAAGGAGAGAGAATGAGTTGAGGCATAGATCTTGCTTTGGTTTTGCCTTTACTAGTTTTGATGAAGGGGTTAAATGTACATAGATATTATCTTTTTTTATATCAACTATTTATTCAGAACTGTTTCTGTACCAGTTAACCACCTGTTTTTATGTGACTTTGGTTAAAGATGAAGAGCAGGCTGAAAATGTCAGAGCTCTACTTGTTTTGTTCCGGCCTGTGCTGTGATTCAGGAATATCTTAGTTTCTACCTCTCAATACAACACGTCTAAATCATCTAAAGGTTTGACATCCTTTGCAAACATGTTGGTCAGTATGTCACAAAGTTTACGGCAAATTCTGACATTTCTATTACTGTGTAATTGTTGACTGACATTTCAATGTAAAGTCAAATCTGTGTATGTAAAATAATGTTCGTAGTTATATCAACCTACATTCACATTATTTTGCGTCTTCATTGTGAACTCAGGGAGAAGTTTTCTGAGAATTTCTTGAAACTGACTTTCTTGGGTTGTTGAACACCCAGGGCACCGACTGCCCAACAAGCCATGTACTATCTCTATGTTGTTATCTGCCAGACCAAATACAGCAGCAAGTGTATCAAAGGAACCATCCACTCTGAACATCTGTCAGCATGATACACATTGTATTTCAGGGTAGAGTTTGTGCTTTTTAATATTTCTTGTGAGGACAAATAACACAGACGATGGGATTTTATTTAATCCGTTGAGGGACATTTGTTTCACTATAAGAAGTTATTTAAATCAATTAATTGCAAAATAATCCCTGAAATGCACCAAATATCGTGTTGCTATATATAAAAAGATGTGCAAACAGCCAAGAGTACTCTGGGAATTCTCTGGGAGAGCCTTAATTCATCCAAATGGAGATTTCTTAACACATTTGCGCTGACATATTTGAACAGTCTTACTCCAATGGTAAGACAATCATAACTGGTCAGTCAGACACTGCAGCAATCCATTAACATCATTTATAATTCAAGTAAACATGAAAACGATCATGATGTTGTTTTTATTGTATATATTCATTGTCTTCTTCCCAGTATTAATATAATGTTCATGATGAGTCTGCATGATAATAAGTAGAATAATAGATTAGCTATTTTCATGTGAAAAGGGACTGGGACTACTGACAGCAGAGCACAGAGGAGGTTCCAAAGCATCAGCATTGATCATCTTTAAGTATCTATTATGTACTTGAGTTCACCGACCTATGCTGCAGCACAATGGGGTCTAATCTACCATTTATAATGCTCTAATCCAAGTGAAGTTCCTGTGATTTGTCGTGTTTTGTGTGTGTAGGCTGTATTGATTCTTATGTGTGAGAAATGGTCTGTACCAGTCCACCTCTGGTGGGGTTTTGGTTTTAATATGGACAACTTGAGAACAGCATGTCCAACAAACTGTTTTGTAAGGTACATTTTTTAAATTTAGTGTTCTGTTAAAATATTTATTACTTTCTGTGAACTGTAAATTTTCAGCGTGATATGTGCCACCTCAAAAAGCTTTTGATATCTTTATGCTTATTGTCACAGTCAAAATAACAAGAGACATCATACTTACTGGTGATGTTAATGCAGACAAAGAATGTTGGAGTAAAGTGAATCTTTCCTCTGTTCTCGTGGTAACACTGAACACACTGCAGCCTTATGTCATTCACAAAGTACATTTGAATATGACTACATTTGGACGATTGTTTCACTTTGCTGATTGCCCGTGACCGAAATGATTTGTGCTGCGAAACAATGGCAAATAAATCATCAACACTTGAGAAGATTGTCTCTTGAGAAGATTGTGTTTGTCTCGTGTGTCCCCACTTTATACTGATGACACTAAAACATTTTTTTGCCAACCAAGAGTCATTGAGGGGATCCCATCAGACTGTTCTGGTCTTTATCTACAAGCACACAACTTGTTGCAAATGTGCAAAAATCAGTTTTTGTCTTGCTTTGATTGACAGGACATTACAAGGAAGAAATACACATCTTTCACAGTTATATTAAATGATAAAAAATAAACTTTCACAGCCTTGAGTTATTGACACCTAATTTCAACTCCTGCAAATACCAGAGAAAGTCAGTAAACCACAGATGATGCAGAAAGAGATTTAAAGGTCCAGTCTGTAAGATTTAGGTGAAAGGGATCTATTGGCAGATATTTAATGTAGAATAATCCTCATGATGTTTTCACTAGTTCATTTCATCTAAATTGTATGAATTGTAGTTTTCTTTACCCCAGAAAAGACCCTTTATATTTAAATACTTTATATTTACATTGAGGGGACCCTCTCTACGGAGGCCGCCATGTTTTTTACATTAGTCCAGACTGGACAAACTAAACACCTTTTGAGTTTTTATGACAACTGAAGCTGCCACAGGTTTTTTTTTCATGTTTGGAAGGAGAGGGTGAGGTGAGGGGTGTTCAGCTGCAACATGCAACTTCAACACTAGATATCACTACATTCTACACACTGTACCTTTAACATTTATTGTAGTCATGTTTATATGGTCTACCAAACAGAACACACTTCTATTTTACTATCTCAACCAGTATTTTTTTTTATTTCAAGTTCCTGGAATAACTCCACTGCAAGTGTATTGTCCTGCAAAGGTCAGTACAGGTGTTCACATTATTGTGTCCTGTCTCCCTGCAAGTGTCAGCTCAGCTCAGAGGGAGGAGAGCTCGAGCAACAAACACGTGAAGCTAGCCACAATCAGCCTAGGGCAACGACGGAAGTTGTGTGATTTTCCTTCAATTTATAGGTCATGAATTTGTCACATTTGGTGAGAAGTTATCAATGAAAAAAAGGCATGTCTGAAATACCAACCATCAGCAAGAGACCTGTCATCGTTTAGTAAAACAATAAATAGGATTGTGTTTTGCGATTTAATTAGACTTTTACATGTGCAGTCATATTTGATGCATAATTGATCATTACATTACAGTAAAGTAAATGGCAGTAAAGTGAAGTAAAGTGAAGCAAAGTAAAGTGAAAGGCAGTAATGAGATTACTTTGATTCATTATTGACATTATTGAAATGTTAAGCACAAAGGCCTTTTGTGCAGAACTTTTTATATTAAATATATTGGCGTGTTACATGTTTAATATATAGTATGTATACATATAATGTATCATTACATTTTACTGTTAATGTCACTCTGTATTTCTTTTTATAGTTTTATACTGAATGTACCTCTTTTTAATTTCGTTTTACAATCTAATGTTTGCATTGTCTGAGGTGCCTTTACCATTTGCCACGATGCTCTAATATAACATATAACAGGAATATAACATAAAACAGGAATCTGTCCACCACAGTCCGTCCCAGTTGGAGTTAGTTAAGACGGACCTTATTTTGAAACGTGGAAGCGGAAGCCGCGTCCTCCGGCGCCGCTGCGCTGCTCGGCAGCTGCAGCCTCCCAGTGAGAGAGTGAACCTGCCCGGGCTGAGCGAGCAGGACGTGTGCGGCGGTAATGGCTGCCAGGGAGAGGGAGGGAGACAACAAATGAACCCCCGACAAACGAGCCGAAGGTGAGACCGAGCACATGGCAAGTTCCAGCGGCGGACCCGCGGCCTCGCACACGGTCACACCATTGTCTGTGCCGCTGGGGCCGCTGGTCCACCGGGCTGGCAGGTGTGTGTGTGTGTATGTGTGTTTTGGTTGCATTTCTTGATGACAGACACATGCACGCACGCACACACACACACACCGGACAATACACTGTCATTACCTAACACACGCGTGTCCGCTCCACGCACCAGCGGCAGGGCCACAGAGGTGAACTGTCTCAGGTTCGAGTGCTATTAGCTTGATGCAGACGTGCGTGGGGCTCGCGCTGGACTCTTTGTTAGCTGCTGTTAACGTGATTAGCCAACGTTAGCTAATCACGTTAACAGCGGCTAACGTTAGCTGAGCAACCCCACCGCGAGCTGACGGAGCCAGGCCACTTAGCCGTTAGCCTGTTAGCCCAGTGATGACTAATTATCCCGTTAGCACGCTGTGTGTGTGTGTGTGTGTGTGTGTGT